TTTTAATGAATTCTTTAAACCGCTTGAAATATTTGTAAGCCCCTAAACTAGAACACCCCCTTAAAAGACGATTGAAAAATTTCGAATGGGATGTCAAGGGTCAGAAAATATTTGATTAGCAACAAGAACTATATATACATATATAAATATATATAAATATATATATGACTAAACTAATATTACGAGGTTTTGGTTGCTAATAAAATATTTTCTGATCTTTGACATCCCATCCGGAATAATATATATACATATATTCCCCAAATTAAAAGAGCATTTTAAATGAAATTAAATGACGTCATAGTCGTCATTTGCCTTATCGGCAACAATTAAAAATATATGTATTTGCTTATTAATTAAATATGTATAGAGTATTTATAAAAATATGAAACTAAAAAAAATATATACACATAAATAACTCAGACTAAAATGTATTAAACATATAAATATATATTCATTAGTATGAATATTACTTATATATTAGTTAGTTATAGTTATATTAGTTATAGTATGAATCGTTAGCTGAAAGTTAATATTTAGTTAATATTTCTGAGATGGTGGCGGAGCCAGTAATACCTTTTCTTTTATTCTCATTCATCCAACTTTATATATTTGTATATTTATATTATTATTTATTATTATTTATATTATTTAATATTTAAATAATTGAAAAGATGCCTAGAATTTTGCCGAGTTTTGAATTCGAAAAATAGTAATAATTGAAATAAAAAATCCTTCGTCCTTGTTCTAGTTTTATATATTTCGATATATTTTTGAATATTTAATAAACAATGCCAGGGTTTCCTCAATTATAGCTGCCATCCAGTTTTATTCAAATCAGACCGGGTAGAATATATCATCTATAAGTTTAATTACATCCATGAGTACTATTTCCCTTTGACGATGTCCATGATAATTCAACTATAAGATACTCTAGTCGATAGATGTGGTCCTTTTACAAAATGATAGGTTGTGAGTGAAACAGTGTTGATAAACATCGTGTTGTTAACCCTTAAACGGTGACACGGGTCACGAAATGATTCATTCTACCAAGTGCATGGGAAATACCTATGAGTAATATCCATTGAGAACTTAAAAATTCGAAAGAAAATCCAAACATTCGCTTATAAACGCAACCAACCAGTGTGCTATATAATATTCTATATAGTACTATTTTGGAGAGCAAGAGGGCGGTATGACGAATGCATTCTCCATAGAGGAGTTGGCTCTCAGTTAGTTAGAGGTGCCTGAACCTCTCTGGGCCAACGCTGTTTGGTAATCACGAAAAAATAACTGGAGCATGAGGCCTTGTGTTATATGTACACCCACCAATCCACTATGTTTATGGTAACGGGCATATATGGTAGAAATGGAAAACAAATGGAAATTCAAGTAAACAAACAAACTTAAAAGAATAATAAATAAAATTAAAGAGAGTCAAAGGCTCGAAAGCTCAAATCGTCCAAAATAAAGACAATGCCAACCTGTTTGAAGGGGAAACATTAGCCTTGAAGGAGGAACATCTACACGAATCGGTTAATCAACCTCTTCCAATCGAATCTGAGTCATGCATGCCTCTTTCTCTTCATCGCCTTCGTCCGGGGTTAAAGTACTTCTGCTATATACATAGATATATGTGTATGTTCTTTGAGAAGATATTAAATGCCGATGAACTTAAATGCCCTACTTCCTCAGCCAAATTGCGGTTAATCAGGTAATATTAATTATTTTCCTGTGGCCCTGGTCTTAATTACATTTATGGCGAAAAATATAATTAATAGATACGTCGTGTTCGAAAGCTCTTAAACTAATTTTTAGCCTCCCCTGGATCTGGATATGGGGCTGAGGTGCCAAAGTGTCTGAAAATTAAGCGACGACAGCGGCATAGTGCTGGCGAGTGGTGGGGATTGGTGATGGGGGATGGGAATGGAGAGGTCAGGTTGGGGGGTTGAGACACGAAGAACCAGACAGAACGAACGAGCCGACAAACGAGCAAAGGAAAACAAACAAAAAAAAAAATAAAACAATGGAGCTTCATTCCCTCGAAAGCGAGAGATGCCCAACCAGCTTTTATTTTTGTTTTCATTTTTTTTTTTCAACTTTAATAATATTTTAAATATTCAAGAGCTTGATGGGAGAACAATTATGGTGCGTCGGGGTCACCAATTAGGTCAAAATGGCTGTAGAATTTTGTTAGTTTTGATTTTCGGTTTGTCTTCAAGGATTTCTATAATTTTTGTCCTTCTATCGGACCCGCAAGACTTACTGTCCGTTTGTCCGCCTGTCCGTTATTCAACCTGTCCGTTGTTTCATACCACTGGTAGGCCCGTCTATTATTTAACCTTTTTCGCTATAAGGCATTCTATAAAATGGACCATAAGTTTTGGACATATTATTAGAATATCCACAAGTCATCTAGTCCTGTTGGAAGTCTGTCGGTTCACCTGTCCGTTTGTCCGTCTGTCCGCAAGGCCGTCTATAATTCAACAAAAGGTGTCTTATAGACTTCTTCGACTTCTATAGACACATATTTGACTTAGATGTCGTAAGAGTCTGTCCTATAACTATAACTCTATAACTATATAGTCTAGGTATAGTATAAGCTATCTATACCTATAACTCATCTATCTATGACTCAGTATCAGTTCCTTCTTAAGACAAATATCTTTAAAAAAATGTGATAAAAACCAACAAATCGAACAGAAATGCAATCCACAGAACTGGAAACCCTTGGCGGAACCTCTGAAATGGTTTGTTATTTCCCATCTGAAACACAATATCCCCCTATAAACCTCAATATCCTCAATAAAAAAAAAATACGAAAAATGCCTATTTGAAGATTATTTTGTTTGTATTATTTTTAGTTTATTTTTTTTTAAAGCAAAGGGGGACGAGAGCCCGAGACCTTTAAAATGCAGGCCACTGCTCTTTGGGGTCTTCGCCGCCCATTTGTTTATTTGCAGGCCAATTCATTGAATTCTTTCATGTTCTCTTATTTTCTTTTTATTTATTTATTTTATTTTTTTGTTTTAATTCTTTATTTATCTGTGGGACAACTCAATTGCGTTGCGACAACGATTAGCTTACGCAGAATTGCGTCTAAATTAAGGGGAACAAGACACACATGCAGTCTCAGGCTTAAGTTCCAGTAAGAGAATGACCCACATGGAGCTTTTTACTTTGAAAAAAATTTTAATATTAAATGAATGGCTTTATGGTCATTATTTTCTTTAGGTGTAGAAAGCCCCTGTTGCTGGTTCTTTCTTTTTTATTTTTCCTGGTCATTGGCCGGTCATTACAAAAAAAAAGAAAAGAAAAGGAAAGTTCTTTAATTAATAAAATACCCGGACATGTGTGGTAGCTTCGCTTCAGTCTTTTGTTTCTGTGTCCGCCTGCATGCCTTGATGGCGGCCCTAGAATTATGGCATTAGTCACTTGGTCCCTCTGTTAATTAATGACTCTTTTCATCAAGGAAGAGTTGAAAGTTTTAGAAGTAAACTTGACTAGTCACTAAATTAATGTTATTAGTTTGAAGAGCAATTCTCTATCCCTTATAATCATAATCCCATACCAAAATCCTTTTAAAAATCTCAGAAATATTTGAAGAAATTAATAAGAGCCCCTTATAACACCTATAACTAAATCTCTGTCTTTCATAAATGCCATTTTTAACTTAAACACCATCTATAAAGAGTGCTAGTATTAATGCTTATACTATCCTATTATAGCTATAATATAATACAGCCCAAAAGACCCAAAATCTTAAAATAAGTTCATATGTATAATGGTTCTAATACACCTTCTATATGTCGATTAAGACTCCCTTTCCTGGGATATCGTGGGGCTGGGAAATGGCTAAGAAGTTTCCTCTTCATCCTCGTTGGGGTTCCTACTAGCCAGTGCCTCGTGATGACTCTGATAGCCGTGCTGGTGCGAGTCCTTTCCATCCTTAATAGCTGGGATGTTATTTTCATTGAGAGATTCTTAGAGTCAAAGTTTAAATGAGACTTAAAATTATCTGTAAAAATTAAAAAAATCTGAAAGTTATGTTATATAAAAAATTATAGGAGAAAATAATTAAATAAAAAAAATTAATCTTCAAAAAAAAAAAGATACATTTCTTTCTAAGAAGATACATTTTTTAAAAATCTCAGGTTTTTCTTGAAAAAATGGAAATATTATTAATCTTATTCTTAAAAATCCTTAAAAAATAGCAGATTTCTGTTAAAAATCATAGATCTTCCATAAAAATCGGACATCCCCTTTTATAATACGGGGAACAGTCCACAGTTTATATCTTCCAATATTCATATCCCCAATCCTTCAAAGGAATACTTGAAAAAAAAAAGAAAATTCGTAGATTTTCCTAGAAAATTCCTTAACTTGAGTGTGGGATGAAAACTCATGTAGGCATCCATAACGCCCCAAAGGTGGCTATATCTGAGGATGATTAGGTCTGATCCTCGAAGAAAACTTTTGAATTGGTTTGAGGGTCTAATCTTCGAGAGGAATCCTCGAAAAACAATGTAGAAAGGTTCCTTTACTTCAAAAAGAATAAGTCCCGCCTTAAAAATTAGGGAAATCATAGGTATAATCCATAATGGACCCAGAGGTGGCTATATGTAAGGATGATTAGGTCTGATCCTCAAGAGGAATCCCTAAAAAAAACTGTAGAAAGGAACCTTAACTTAAGTTTTGGGGAAAGTATTGGTGGAACTTATAATACACCTAAAGATGGCTTGTTAGGGTATTTAGGTTTAGGTATAATCCTCAAGAGAAGTTCCTAAAAAAATGAAGATATATGTAGGTTCCTTACCCCAAATGTTGGGGGAAAGATGGCTATATCTTTGGACGAATAGGTCTAACCCTCAAGAAGAGTACTTGAAACAATTATAGATACCACCAAATATGTCCACTTCTAAGGAAGATTAGGTCTGATCCTCGAGATCTGAAACATAATTTTCCAAAAAGTAGTCTAATTTGTTTTCATTTCTTCCGACCAGAAGTTTCCACATTGGCCGAGCTGGCTGCTCGATGCGTGGCCTCCTATATACCCTTCGAGCTGGTGGAGCATGTGTATCCGCCGGTGCCGGAACAGCTGCAGCTGCGCATCGCCTTCTGGAGCTTTCCGGACAACGAGGAGGACATACGGCTGTACTCCTGCCTGGCCAACAGCTCGGCGGATGAGTTCAATCGCGGCGATCAGCTCTTCAGGCTGCGCGCCGTCAAGGATCCACTGCAGATAGGTGAGTGCTACGTCCCAGGATGCTCCCTGCCGGGTGATTAACATTGAATCTCCTCCTGACTCCTCCATAGGCTTCCATCTGTCGGCCAGTGTGGTGAACCAATCGCCGAGGGTCTACTTCAATGTGGCCGTCACCTTCGACCGGCGACGCATCTCCTCCTGCAACTGCACCTGCACCTCCTCCGCCTACTGGTGCTCCCACGTGGTGGCCGTCTGTCTGCATCGCATCCATTGCGTGAGTATTTCATGAAGGTACTCCAGCTCCTCCGCGGCTAAACACACCTTCTCCCCTTGCAGCCCCAGGAAGTGTGCCTCCGTGCACCCGTGTCCGAGTCCCTGACGCGCCTGCAACGCGACCAGCTGCAGAAGTTCGCCCAGTATCTGATCAGCGAGCTGCCCCAACAGATTCTGCCCACGGCCCAGCGTCTCCTGGACGAGCTGCTCAGCGCCCAGCCGACGGCCATTAACACGGTGTGCGGTGCCCCAGATCCCACGGCCGGGGCCTCGATCAACGACCAGACCAGCTGGTATCTGGACGAGAAGACGCTGCACAACAACATCAAGCGGATCCTCATCAAGTTCTGCCTGCCCGCGCCCATCGTCTTCAGGTGAGTTCCCGGCGATTTCCGGCGATCCTTTCGATGAAATAACCCCCCACCATGTCCTTCACAGCGATGTCAACTATCTGACGAACTCGGCACCTCCGGCGGCGGCGGAGTGGAGCTCCCTGCTGCGACCGTTGCGTGGTCGGGAACCGGAGGGCATGTGGAATCTGCTGTCGATTGTGCGGGAGATGTACCGACGCTGCGACCGGAACGCTGTCCGCTTGCTGGAGATCATAACGGAGGAGTGCATGTCCTGCGACCAGATACTCACCTGGTGGTTCCAGACCAAGCTGACCCTCATGATGGGCTCCCACGGCCACTCCGGCGGCAAGCACTCGAACACCCACTCCAACTCGACGGCCCTGCAGCACGCCTGCAGTTCGCTGTGCGACGAGATCGTGGCGCTGTGGCGCCTGGCCGCCCTCAATCCCGGCCTGGCGCCGGACGAAAGGGACATGCTGCATGCCCAGTTCACCGCCTGGCATCTGAAGATCCTCGACCGGGTGGTCAAGAGCCGGATGATGCCGCCGTCGTACACCAACAAGCACCAGCAGAACTCGCGCTCCGAAACGGAACTCTTCATTGGCTTCAAGCCGGCCATTGAGGCGTGCTACCTGGACTGGGAGGACTATCCCATCCCGGGAGTGACGCACACCCACGACACGAACCCCATCTACTACTCACCGTTCACCTGCTTCAAGCACACGGATCTCAACAATCCCGGCCAGCTGAACGCCACCCAGGCGCTTATGAAGAACAACAAGCACTACAACTACTTCAGCTCCTCCAGCGACCACGGCCTGCATGCCGGCGCCTTCAACCAGCGCATGGAGCGGCCGTTCCTGGTCTCCCGCTACCTACTCGGCGGCGGGGACATGGACCCGATGGGCGCCCTGCCCGCCGGCGCTAACGGCGGAGCCTCGTCCATGGGCCGCCAGTTCTCGGTGGCCGTGCTCGGGGCTGGGGGCCAACAGATGGGAGGCAGCGGGGTGGCTGTGGGCGGCGGCGGTGGAGGTGCAGCGTCCGGAGATGCGAATCCTTCCCAGAAGCAGCAGCAGCAGAAGGCGGCCGGCAGCAGCTCCAAGGGAGCGGGAGCGGTGGGAGCCGCGGCCGGCGATGGCAACCGGTCGAGCGCCAGCAGCGAGGGCTTCTGCGAGAACGACGACTTCGGCGGCGACACCAGTAGCAGCCACAACTACTGCCTGCCCGGCCAGGCCAGTGTCCCCGGCCAGAAGTCTGCCCTCACCGAATCCGACTCGCAGAGCAGCTTCGACGCCGTCTCCCAGCAGAGCAAGGACGATCCGCCCGCGGGTGGCCAGGAGCAGGCCTGCTCAACCTCCGACACCTCCTCGGCCTCGTCTGCCTCCCTGTCGGCCTCGACGGCATCGGGCAGCTCCAACAGTTCCACCTCCTCCATGCTGATGGCCGGCCAGGAGGCGGTCGGCGGGGTATCGGTTACCCAACAGGCACCGCGTCGCCTCAGCAAGGACGAGTCCTTCAGCAGCAGCAGTGATGAGTTCAACCACGCTACCAGCGCAGTGGGAAGGTCCGCAGCAGGCGGAGCAGCACCAGGTGTCGGGGGAGCCGGAACAGAAGCGGGCGGATCCAGTTCCCCCGCTGGCGGTGCCGCTGACGGAAGCGCAGGCTCCACAGCTGGCGGAGATGTGACGCCCGTACCGAGCACCTCGGCAGCAGCCAGAGCCGCTTTGGCTGCCAGTTCGAGTACCTCCGCGGCACCGACGCCCCACGCCGCCGAGGGGTTGGGAGCTCCCGTGGATCAGCCGAGCACTTCATCCGTGGCCGCACAGAGAGCGGCGGCCCACCAGAACGCCGTGGCGTCCGACAAGCCGCACGTCTTCTCCAATGTGCGACCCACGGAGGACGCCTGGGACATTCTCCTGGCCCGGGCCGAGGGCCTGCACGCCCACGGACACGGACGGGAGGCCTGCATCCTGGCCGTCCGCCTGGCGGAGCAGATGCTGGCCAATCCACCCAACCTGCTGCTGGAACTGCCCCCGGCGCCGAAGCGCAAGGGCAAGAAGCAGAACGTTAACCCCATTTCGCACCAGCTGACAGTGGTGGCCTCCGCCACGCTGAGCAAGTGCGCCTTCCTGTGCACGGTCCTGTCGGAGAACTCGGAGCACTACCACATCGGCTTCCGGATATGCCTGTTCGCGCTGGAGATGCCCCGTCCGCCGGCCAGCACCAAGCCGCTGGAGGTGAAGCTGGCCAACCAGGAGGCGGACATTTTGGCGCTGCTCAAGCGCCTCCCCCTGGGCTCCGCGGAGCTCCAGGTGATTCGCGAGCGGGCGGAGCAGCTGCGCAGCGGCACCTTCAAGACACGCGGCGAGGCCCTGCTGCCCATCAACCTGGCCACGTTCATATTCGACGCCCTGGTCACCTTCAGCTCGGCCGGCGGCTCGTCCAACGTCAACCTGGGCGCTGGGGGAGCCGGAGTGGCAACCGGCGGAGCTGGCCGGTCGGGCTTGGTCCCGTCCGGACCTCGGCTGCTGATGTACAAGCACAACGACGAGAATCTCGGCTTCGACGCCGCCGTGGCGGCTCTGGGGCTGAAGGCGAATGTCTCCGAGGCGGAGCACCCGCTCCTCTGCGAGGGAACACGGCGGCAGCGCGGCGATCTCGCCCTGACGCTGCTCTACCACTACAAGGACGAGCCGCGGAAGATAGCCAAGATCATGGAGAAGCTGCTGGACCGGGACATACACACGCTGCTGAAGGCGCCACTGCTGCCGGCCTACTACTCCAGCAATCCGCCGGTGCGGACGCCCAGCAACCAGCCGATGCGGCGCGAGGATCACGAATACGGCGGCGGCGGGGGATGTGCCTCCACCGGCTGCAACCCGATGGCCAATCTGTGCGAGCTCCTGCCCACGGACTACGGCAGCGTCGGCGGCAACAGCCGGCCGCACAGCTCCACCAGCGCCGAGCTGGAGCTGAGCATGTGCGCCCTGAGCATGGCCAGCAGCCAGTCGGGCATGGTGCCGACGGCGGGCACGGCCGGTGGCGGCGCCACGACTGCCAGCTCGGCCAGCACCAGCGGCAATCCCAGTGGCACGGCCGGAGGTAACGGAGGCAACGGCGGCGGAGGAGCTGGCGGCAGCGCAGGCGGCGGAGGAGCTGGCGGCGGCAATGGTGGTGCCAGCGCCACTGGAGGCGGAAGCACCAGCAGCAGCCGCAGCAAGGAGAGCCGCTACAAGGGCAAGCGGGCGTATCCTTCGATACCCAACCAACCTTCGGAGGCCAGCGCCCACTTCATGTTCGAGCTGGCCAAGAATGTGCTGACCAAGGCGGGCGGCAACAGCTCCACCTCGCTCTTCACCCAGGCCAGTACCAACCAGAACCACCATGGGCCCCACCGCGCCCTCCATATGTGCGCCTTCCAGCTGGGCCTCTACGCCCTCGGCCTCCACAACTGCGTCAGCCCCAACTGGCTGTCGCGGACGTACTCCTCGCACGTCTCCTGGATCCTCGGCCAGGCCATGGAGATTGGAGCGCCGGCCATCAGTTTCCTGATCGACACGTGGGAGGCCCATTTGACGCCACCGGAAGCGGCCGGCATGGCGGATCGGGCCTCGCGCGGCTGGGACAACAACATGGTCTATCCGGCGGCCGAGCTGGCGCTCTCTGTGCTGCCACATGCCGCCGCCCTGAATCCCAACGAGATCCAGCGCGCCATACTGCAGTGCAAGGAGCAGAGCGATCTGATGCTGGAGCGCGCCTGCCTCACCGTGGAAACTGCCGCCAAGGGTGGCGGCGTCTATCCGGAGGTACTGTTCCAGGTAGCGCGCTACTGGTACGAGCTGTACATGCGCAACACGCCCAACAACACCGACCACGAGCCCCACGACGACGGCCTTGACCACTCGGCCGTCAGTCTGAGTGCCCTGATCGAGTCCCAGCAGCAGCACGAGTTGCAGCAGCAACAGCAGCAGCAACAACAGCAGGCCGTGCAGCAGCAGCAACAGCAGCAGGTCGTCCAGCAACAGCAGCAGCAGATGGGTCTGGGCAATCCGGTGGGAGTGCCCGGTGGCGGAGGCGTCGGAGGAGGTCCGCCCGTAGCTGTGCCGCCGTCGGTGGGCAATCCCCAGGCCCAGTTCCAGCTGGCACCGATCGGACTGGCTCCGTACCCGCCGTACAGCTTCTGCCAGGGTCTGTACGCCCATCATGCGCACAACCTCAGCTACCCGCCCGGCCAGATGCAGATGTACATCTCGGCGGGTCCGCCGCCACCATCCCAGGCCTACGCTGGCTACCAGCAGGGGCCGCCGCCGCAGCAACAGCCCCCGAATCCCCAGCAGCAGCAGGTGCAGGTGCAGCAAGTCCAGCAGCAGCAACAGCAGCAGGTCCAGGTCCAGGTGCAGCAGCAGCAGCAACAGCCGGTTGTCCAGCAACAGGTTCCCATTGCCGGACATGCGCCACCGGGTCATCCGGGTCAGCCGCCCGCCGGCTTCCAGCCCCAACCGCCGCCCCCAGGTCCCTTCCAGGTAAGATCCATTGAAGCCTTCAAATTGTGGATATCCCTATAGAATAACCCCAGAAAATGTCATCGTATTTCCAGGCTCTGCCACCCCAGGCCTATCAGGCACTGCAGGCCGGTCCTCCCGGCCCGCCAATGGGTCCGCCCGGCTATTATGGTCCACCGCCGCCACCACCACCCAACGGACCGCCCGTGGGCGTGGGCGTAGGAGTCGGCGTGGGAGTGATGCCCATGCGCCAGCACCACAATCAGCACCAGCATCCCGTCTACTCGTTCATGCAACAGGCTCCGCCCCCACCGCCGCAGCAACAGCAGCAGGCACCGCCCTCCCAGCCGCCGGTGCGCCAGCGGCAACCGCATCAGTTCACGTAAGATATTGGCATAGGACATCCCTGTCACGGTCGCCATATTTGGGATTTTTATTTTAATTAAAGTGTTGTTGTTTTTCCTTACTGAGGATAAAGGCTTGCTTGCTATCTAAGTCTGCTGGAGCGTGAAGCCTCCACAAACATGGCGACCGTGACCTCTCCAAAGCATATAATACAGGACATCCCTGTCACGGTCGCCATATTTGGTGTTTTTTGTTAAAGAGGATTGTTGTACATTGTGGAGGATTCTAACTACAGGCTAACTATTTAACTAAGCCCGCTGGAGCTGAAAACCACCACAAACTAAGTCTCTAAACAAAACCCCAAAAACATGGCGACCGTGACATATCCCGAGAGAGATCTCCAAAAAAAGGGTTTAAACCACACTAATCCTTAATCTTGCTTTACTTGAACAGGCAAACCCAGCTGCGCTATTTACTGGCCGCGTACAACGTGGGCATGCTGGCCATGGAGACCTTGGCCCGGAGAGTGCACGACGATCGGCCGCAGGCCAAGTACGCCCGGAATCCGCCTTACGGCGAGGACGTCAAATGGCTGCTGAGGATCAGCAAGAAGCTGGGAACGCAGTATCTGCACCAGTTCTGCATATGTGCCGTCAACTCGATCGTCAGCCCGTTCGTCCTGCACGACGTGGCCATCGAATCGGCCCACTATCTGGGCAGGAACAACCACCAGCTGGTGATGCAGCACTTGCGCTCGGCCCTGACGCCGCTCGTACAAAAGTGCCAGCAAATGTGAGCTTAACAAATCATGGATTTCCCTTGGGATCTGGCTAATGTTTTGAGTTTGTGGGTTTCGTTTTGCAGGTACATCCAGTGCATCCACCAGAAGCTGTACCACCTGACGCAGGGTGACTACGAGGAGTTCGCCAGCATTGTGGTGGCCGCTCGCGCCGCCTTCCAGATCACACCCGAGGGCAGTGCCCAGTTCAAGGACTGGCTGCAGTCCATCAAGCGGTAAGTTGGTCTTCGATCTTCGAGAGGATGGCATTCTAACATTCGATCCTTTTTGGAACAGTTCCAAGTCGTGCAAAAAGGAGCTGTGGACGCAGATCAATGCGGCGCTGCAAAGCAACTCCAAATGACAAAGACTTGACTCCTGCAACCTGATGACGGCGGTGGCAACGGCGCAAGCAGCGGCAGCAGCAGCGGCGGTAGCAGCTGCCACAGCCACGGCAACGGCCACGGCAGTTGCGGCGACAGCAACCGCGGAGACGACGGCTTCACAGATGGGCAAGCCACCGGCCATGGCAGCCACCAACGGCAGCATCAGCAGCAGCAGCACCAACAGCAACACCATTGCGATGAGCAACAATCACAGCAACAGCACCATTAGCAACATAGGCAACGGCAATAGCACCACCACCGCCACCAGCGGGAACGGCAGCAGCAACAGCGATCCTGCCGGCGTACACAATCATCATCATCACCACCAGCACCAGCACCACAGCCGGCATCATCATTTGCTAGAGACACCAGCGAATGGAGCAGGAACCGGAACGGGCCTTGGAGGAGGAGCGGATGTTGCAACAGCAGCGGTGGCGGTAGCGAATCAACCAGCAACGCCGGTTGCAAGTGCAACTGGCAGCGAACGCAGACCACCATTGCTGGGTGCACCGCCGCCACCGCCACCTAGTAACGGCGGTAGCATCTCCACCAACAGCCGATCGGCGGCAGCAGCGGCCGCAGCAGCAGCAGCCATCGCCTACCACTCGCTGATGCCCAACTACTATCCCAGTTCGCGGCAGCTTCAGCACTTGCATGCCCATGCCAGCTCGAGGACTGGCCACCAGCTCCCACATCCGCTCCCGCACCCACAACCTCACCCGCATCCGCACCCACATCCCCACTCGCACAACCAGCCGCAGCCGCATCCGCATCCACACGTACTGCCGCCGGCCACGCCCCACCACCAGCCGGCCGCCCACCCGGCCCAGTACCAGCTGCAGACGCTGAGCCACTACCATCAGCATCTTTAACACGGCATCGCTGTACGCACGGGTGGTACGCATGATGTTCCTCCTGCTGGGCTCCTACTTCCCGGAGGATGACGTCGAGGGCGTGGAGCGTCGGCGGCAGCTCCAGCGGCTCTCTGCGGAGACCGAAGCCGAGCAGCGGCGGTGCGTGGACGAGTTTCGGATGGCGCTCTGTCGCATGTTTCTGGTGTTGGTGGTGCTGGTGGGGTTGCTCTTTACGATCCTGCTGCTTCTCTGAAATTGTAATCCATGGCCCCGGCCCGGCTGTCCGAATCCCCGCCAGAAACCACCGTGTTTAGTTGATTTGGAATAACATTGTGTTTTGTATTTTTGTATATTTTTTCAATTTTATTTTGGTTTGGGTGTGCAGATTTTTGCAATTTCATCATTTTTTGTGTCGAGACTTTTTTTTTTAGACTGAGATATACATATGTGTGTTTATATATGTATGTCGAGAGCAAAAACAACAATGAATACACCCACAGACTCACACACCACCCACAAACACCCCCGAAAATATTGAGAAAATGGAAAAAAATACAAAAGCTCTGTTCGATTTTCAGAAAATGTGTTCAGTTAAACTAACGTATTTATAGACGATCTATCAGATAGTTTTCTACAGTTACAGTTACAGTTACAGTTATATATATATATATAGAATTCGATTTACACCATATGCTTAAAAAAAACCTCTATATATATATATAATTTTAAATTATGTACAACTTTTTTTTGTTTTTACATTTTCGAAAAAAAAAACTTCATTCATCCACCAACACCCGTATATTTTTTTTTATTAGTTTGATTAGATCTATACACATAAATATATATATATATTTTTAAGAAATTTTTAGGATTTTTCAAATTTAAAACAAATACAAAACAACAAAAAAAAAAGGAACACAAAAATCCAAATCCGATTCGACGCAGAAGAAATTCTAAGTAGAGCAGTTTGTTTTGAATATTTAAAACTAGAAAATAAGATCTCAAACAATCTCAAAACTGAATTCGTCATTTTTTTTTTCAAAATAAGTCTAAATGCATTTCCGCAAAGAGAAACAGAAAAACTCAGAAATAAACTTTAAAATCTTTTCGAAAATAACGTATAAGTTGATTTTGAAACGGTTTTTAAACATGTAAAATACAATATTCTATATATATATATATTGTTCAATCAGCTGCTATTAAGGGATACATTTATTATCTAGGTCTATATTACTGAATTATATATATAGAAAATATTTTGGACAAACTGCCAGACTTTCTTCGGCTTCGACTGAGACCTACTTCGAACAGATTTTTTTTTATATTTAATTTAAAAAAAAACCCATTATCTTCACTTTTACACACAACCTTGATTACATCGTTTTTTTTTGTTGGTTTAGCTTGTAAGTTTAGTATCAGAGAGGAGTCTATATATATTTTTTACATTTAAAAATTAAGCAAAAAAACCCGAAAAATACAGATATATTTATGCTTTACAAACAATTTTGTTTACCAATTTTTATTTAAATATTTTCTTAATGCTTTATGTAACTGCTTATACATACATATTTTTTTAGAAATATTTAAATTCGATATATATATATATGTATATACAACAGTATATATATATTTATACATAAACACACACAAAAGCAAGGAAAAAAGCAAAAAAAAGATGAACAAAATATTTTTTTTATATATACACATAAATGCTGTTTTGAGTAAATATGTTTTTTTCGATTTATTTCAAAACGCAAATTAAAAAAAAAAAGAAAACGAAACAAAAAAAAAAACAAAAAAGAAAAACAGAAAAAAAACGAAAACAAAAACACAAAATGAAGAAAAGTTTGTTTTATTTTCCATTGGATTTTATTTATTTTCAGATGAGTTGTGAGTTTTGAATTTTTTCGAATGATTTTATTTTATTTTCAGTTGTTTTAATTTTTAGGTTTTTTATTCCAATATTCCATTTCCTCTAGCTATAAAAAATTAAATCTTAATTAAACTATAAAAGGAAACTGCCACTTTCTTGAGGATTCAGTAATTTTAAAAAACCACTAAATTTAAATAAAATAGTTATATAAAAAATTATGCTAACCCTTGTCCCCCTCAGACCCCTCCCTGTCCCCGCTTGGAGGTTGTAAATACGGATCTTAAAAAAAAAAAAACAAAAAATCATATATATATAAATATTGTAACTTATTTGTGTTTTTATAAATATTATGAAAAAAAATCCAAAAACTACATCGAATCCCGGTAAGATGCGGGTTCGAGTCCTGTAAGCAATCGCGTAAAACTGTAAACTTTTCGTAGGCAGTGTTTTATACAAAGAAAACCCAAAAAAAAAAAACACAAACAAGTCATAAAAACAAATAAAATACTTAACTTATTTATATTGTGAACAAACGCAATCTGTATATTAAACATAAAGAAAGAAAATGTTTTTAAAAACTAAATCTAAAAAATATAGTTGACTTTTTTCCATGAAAAAAAAAACAAATATAATAATAACAGAAGCTTTGTTCACCGAAATTTGTAAATTATATATACAAAATAATCAACCAATTAGCTAACAAATAGAATCGAAAACAGGATCGAAGGACATGGACTTGGAAGGACAAAACCAATGACTTGAAATCACACAATAACAATAATTGAAAAGCAAAACGTGTAAACAATTAACATTTAAAAATGCAGAAACGGAAAAAAAAACAAAAAAACTTGAATATTAAAACTAAAAAATAAATAATAAATGCAAACATAATGTTAACGTAGCCGAGATTAGCCTTTAGATCACATTTAGCGCATATTTTACACAAGCGTAGTGAACCAATTTCCAAAAACTAACAAAATTTATAATAAAGACCGTAAAGACACTTCACAATTCCGTAAAAATCAGAAAAAAAAAAAAACATAAAATCTGGAAATTAAATTAAAGAATGAAGAACAAAAAATCAGAGACCATAATTGCATATTGCAAGTGAACTGAGGAAAATCTCAAAAATAAGAAATTTTGAATGGAAAACGACATTTGACAAATCAGGAAACAGAAATTATAGAAGCAATTTCCAAAAGACGCCCATAAACGAAAATTCGACTGATCAGAAGATACAAAATAATAATTTCAATCAGAATCCCAATCCTCTCCTACTTCTCCAGCAGATAATAAACTTAAAAAACAAAAATGGTAGAGAAAAAAATCAAAAATCATGTTACAATTCTCAGAAATTCCCTTAAAAAATTCCCATATCATTTAACTGCCACTGGAAAAAAAACTGGGTGCTTAACCCTTTGTCTTCTTGGATTTCCTCAGAAAAAGGTCAAAAGCCCCCTCAAGATCCTCCCCCAAAAATCCGAATGCGAATAAAGACTATATATCACCGCACACAGACGTGTATATAGCTACACTGGAAAACATCTTCTGGAACTCTTAAGATCTGCACTCTCTATATATATATACATATATCTATTTACAGATACAGATACAGATTCAAACAGACACGGACATAATTTAATATTAATCTTAAGTCGGAAATAAAGCATTACCTCATACTTTAAAAACTTATGAAGACAGTTACCAGTAGAACACTCGAAATCTAAATCTAAATCTAAATCTATATATATACAATTATATATATATATATATATTATATATATATATATAAAAATAAATATACAATATATACACGCATAAATTTAGGACATTTTTTTGTAGCAATCGAACTTAGGCTTTATGACAGAAAATAAACAAAATAAAAATAAAAAATCTATTTCATTTAAATATTTACGGAAACGAAACGAGAGATGCAAAATGCCCCGAGATTTCTTTGAGTGAAAATGAAAATATTTATATATACTATTCTTTGCTCTTTGTAAAAATTTATGCACTGTAAAAAACCAGTAAGACATATATAAAACATAAATATATATGACAGAAAAAAAAAATAAGAAAATTGCTTGCTAAACACAAAAGTTAAAAAGAACGAATGAAAAAACGCGCAAAAAATCTATCATAAAAAATAAAAAAATTATATACAAACAAAAGGACATTTTACACACACACATACACAAGGACATGGATACACACATACATATATATACATTCTTACATATACACTGGAAAAAACGACGTTATTTATATATACGCCTACAGAAATATGCGAAAAATAAAAAAAAACTTATTATATACAACAAGCAGAATATATATAAATATATATATACAATACTTATTTACATTGCGTATTTTAGCGTTTTATTCAACATTGGAAAATAAAGAAAAAATAAAAACAAAATCGTAGAAACGCTACAAAAGTGTTCTTTTAATACAAAAATATTATATATATATATATGAAATTTAAAAAAGAGCGAAAAAATAGGAAATTACAAATAAGCAACAGAAATATTTATACACGGAAATGCAACTGCATGTTGAAAGCTTAATGGGAAGGTAAAAAAAGGAAGCAAAAAAAATAAAAATCAATATATAATTGACTAACTAATTTTACAAAAAACAGAAGAAAGAACGACAATTTTTTACCAATCGCTGTAAATATTTAGCCAACAAAATGAAACCAAAAAAATATATCTCACTTTTCTGGCGGGTTTTTCATTTTTATTTTAATCTGTTTTTTATTTAATTTTCAAATATTTCGAAATCCCTCTTGAAAAAAAATCGAACCCTTAAAAAATGCAAAAGCTTTAATTCATTAAAACAGAAAAAAACAAGAACAACAACCACACAGCGATGCTAAAGTGCTTTAAACACGCCAATACACGCAAAAAAAATATACATTTCTCTTAAGTCTTAAAAAAAAACCAAAAAAAACTTTATACAGAAAATCTGCCAAAAATCAAGCTAATAAGAATAAAAAGTAAATGAAAAAAATTAATAATAATTGAAACTTTTCTCTTCAAAAAAATAGAAACAAATTGTAAACAATGAAAATAATACAGAAACTAACTAATTATACACATAAAATATTTACTAATTATAATACAAATAAAACGAAAAGGAGATTCGAAAAAGCAGAAATTAAAACCAAAAGCTTATTTTATATATTCAAACATACAAAAACAATAAACATAAACCGAAAATGACCATTTAAAAATTAAAAAGTAAAAAAATTATATACGAAAAGAAAAATATATATACACACACCCACTCTCATATATATATATATTTAGTATAAATATATATATAATATATTTAAATGATTTTTAACGCGAGATCCTTTTCAAATTTTAATAGTTTTTTCATAAACAGCCCGAAGGAAAAAGTGAAAGAGTTAGCTGGCAGGAAGAGAGACGCGCATTATTATTAAACTTAATTTAATATGCAATATACTATATATATACACGCATTATGAATATAGTATATACATATACATATATCTACTATATTAAAAAAAGAAACCGAAAATGAAAAAAAATATATATTAAAAAAAAAGAATTAAGGGGAGAAAATTAAAATATACACAGCAAGAGCGAAACTTAAAATGAATACATTTTAACAAAAAAAAAAACAATGAAACGGAAAAAAATATAAAAAAAAACACTCGAATAAAAAAAAAACCAAAAAAGAAAACAGAAAAAAAACATAAATATTTTTGTATTGATTTTTTTAAAGGGGATAAAGTCCTTTTTCATGATTTTAAAGAGGGTTTTTCAATTCTTAAAAAGTTTTAGGATTTATTTTTTTTGGGGTTAAAGCTTTCGTCTTTACGAAAAAATTTTAAATTAACAAAATATGAAAAATTTTTTAAAACTAAGACTAAATATTGTATTCTATAGTATTTTTTTTAAACCTTTTAAGATTAATGTTTTGAAAACTCAAATATTTCCAAAGCTTTTTCATGTTTTCTGATGCTTTTAATGTAAAGCTTTACTTAAATACTACAATTCTTACATCGAATTTTATTTTGAAAGTCTTAGTTAATTGGAAATAATAAATCAGATAATAATGAAAACTAACAGCTTAAATTTCCCGCGCTAACGAAAAGTGTTGCCACACCGCTGCGTTGAGGGAAAAAGAGGTCAGGGCGAGGCGTTAGGGGATTTTTGCTAGTGGCCTGCTCACGAGCGCGCTGAGCTAGGTGCCAGTGGGTGGGAGGGGAAAACTACATAAGAGCTGGTGGTCGGTGGGAAATGCGAACATATTTGAAAGCAACAGCAATCAAGTGAAAAGCAAGGCCTGTCCCGCCCAGCTCAGCTTATAGCTCAGTGACATCCTTGCCGGCAATTTGCAAGCCAACTCAGAGATCTCCTGCCATAGAAAACAGGAAGTCCTTTGTAAAAAGTCGAAATTTGAAAAGTGCGCGTAAAGTACGTAAATAAATTTCAAAAAAAAAAAAAATGCCTTTTGCAAATGAACAACTGAAGTCCGTGGCCAACGAGCAGTTGACCAAATCGGAGACAATAAAGCTGCGCAACCAGCATATCGGGTAAGCATTATCCTTTGTTCCTTATTCTTTATCTCTTATCCTTGTTACTAATCCGCCGCGTGTGCCTGCGACCTTGCCTTGAATTCGCTTTGGCTGTCAAGGTCACTTGGGCATCCCCCATTGCCCAGCCCACTCATCGTCAGCCCCTCCCTCTTACTGCTCCTCTCCCCCCTCGTTCTAGTTTGTTTTTGTATTTTTGGCACTGTTGCCATCCCACAAAAAAAAAAAAATTATAAAAACAAAAAGAACAGAAAACAACGCGAGAAATTGGCCCAAAAGTAGCGGCTTCTTATTTATTTTTGGCCTTTATTGATTATTTATTTTGCTAGCTGTTTTTAACGCCTGACAACAAAGTACAACAAATTCTTAAAATAGCAAGAGTCCTGCAGAATTTTATACATTTCTTATTAGCTTTTTAAATTACAAACAAAATTTAAAGACAAATATGTACTTTAGCTAAACAGTGAAATCTTGTTCTAGCTTTGAATTTTGAAAAATATATTGCTACGGAATTATAGCTATAGATTTTAGATTTATAATAAAATGTAAATTATTATATTTAAAAAAAATTAAAAAATGGCCTTGTTACAATGGATAATGCTTTTTAAAAACCAATTTAGACGACTAATAGCAATATTTGAGTGAAGATTTTAAAATAAATTTTTATTAAAAATATGTATGATTTTGAATTATTTCAGTTTCTCTTTTATTAATTACATTTTAATAATCTAAAAATAAAATAGTGAATAGTAATTTAGTAGCTTACTATAAATTGCATATATTTTAATTAGGGAATAAGGGATTTTGTTAGGGAATATCGTAAAAAGAAGAAACTATTAGATCCTTTTAAAAATAAGTTGATGAAAAAAAGGAGTCTTAATAAGCAAAATATCTAAAAACCCTAAAAAACCTACTGGAAACTAGTTTCTTTTCAATAAACCCAGCCTAGTTTCGAAAACTTCTTTCTTTTCAAAAGATCAAAGCTTAAATATATAATGTTCCTCAAACAGGCTTATTTCCGATGGTTTATTTTCCGATTAGTTGGCTAACAAGAAATGTAATAATATATTTTTTTGTTTAAAGACCAAAAGCCCAGTGTTGAGACTTGCGTTTGTAGTAGGCCCCGTTTAGTGGCATTATCGGTCGTTATAATACGTCATTAAGGCATTACGCGTTACTTTCTTGTCTGAGAGGAGCGCTTTTTCAGGGCGTTAGTTTAGTGTCTGCCCTTCCTTTGTTGCACTCCCATAAAAAAAAAAAATAAAAAATTACCAACTTTATAATATCTGTTTAATAATATCTGGTGTATTTTTCCAGACAAGCCTGCCAGCTGTTCTATCGCTCCGATCCCCTGAAAATTGTGCGCGGCCAAGGTCAATATATGTTTGACGAGGAGGGAACCCGATATCTGGACTGCATTAATAATGTGGCTCACGGTAAGTTAGTTACTAGTTTTTCATAAAAAATAAGTTTCCAGATTTCTGGTGAATAATTACTAGCAGCGGCTTGCATTTCCTTTAAAGTGGAAAACATATTTTTCAGCTTGAGTTTAGGTTTCTTGAACAGTTGTCAGCTTTTTGATTAATTAATAATTTTCTTATAGATTGTAGACTTTAATAGCAAATTTCTTCTTTAAAATAATTGAAAAGTCACAGTTGCTTGGCTCCATTTCGGGAACCGGGGCCTGATGATGTTACCTCCGAGATATAGATTTCGACTCGTATACCTATTTATAAACATCGCTGCACTAGAGGCTGATTAGCAAATGGCACACGTCCATCGAAAAGTGGATGCAAAGTGCAAATTAGGGGGCCGGGTTGCTCTACTGGCTCTACAAGTACCATAATTCTCGATCATTTGGCAACAAGTTCAAGGCCCAACGGTATAGATACGGTAGATATAGAGAGCCAGACGCCGAGGGCATGTTCAGGCCCCGATTGGTGACTGAGTCAGCTCTTTGGGGTCTACAGAGCTCTACGTCCCTATTGGCTTATCAAAAAAACAATAAAAAAAAAAAACGTACAATGCTGATTTAAATTTTTTAGATGCTGCCCCGGAATTTGGATCCGGCCCCTTGGATCTGGTTTCGGCATTATTTTTTTTTGTTGTCCGAATTTCGGGCCCCGGTTGAAATTCGGGCCCCGGGACTACAAGTGCAATAACTGGCGATTAAAAAAAAAAATAAATAACACAAGTGTCATCCCGACAATAACAATAATAATAATTGTACGGTGGCATTTACGTATAAAATGTACAAAACGCATCATGTTTATATATGATTTTTCGCATATAGTATAGGGAATATAGTACTATGATACTATATCTCCCTGGGGGGTGCCTAACCGTATCATCTTTATCATCTTCATCGAAAAAACAAAAAACAACAAAACAACGAAGATTGACGTCGCGCCTGGCGACCAATTTGCAAATTTGCTGATTTTTTAAAATCTGGGAAGTCATTTTATTTATTTTTTTGTTGTATTTGATTTGATTAATTTTTTATTATTAAAGCCTACTTCCCATAACAAAATTTTCCACTTACAATGGAATGTTTTTTTACAATTTGCAATTGTATTTATGTTGATTCGTATCTTTTATAAAAAAAAATTTTGTTATTAAGGGGTGCTTCAAAATGATCTGTTTAGTGTTATTTATTTTTTAAGGAACCTTCTAAATATTTTTTTAAATTTTACTCGCTCTTTAAAGTTGAACTTTTTGGTATTAAAGTTTAATAGCTAATTTAATCCTTGACTTCTTCTTTGAAATACAAAACCAATAATGTAATGAATAATAATATAAAAAATAAAGTACTTAAAAAACATAGAAATATTATAAAAAATTTAAATATACATATAAACTATCTTTCTTGCATATTTTTGCTCTACTTTAAAAGTTTTTAATTAATTCTACATCATTTTAAAGTTTTTCCTTTTTGATTTTCCCATTAACACTCTTAGTCTATTATTTATTTATGTATGAGTATTTAAATATTTATTTTTTGAACGGAAATTATTTAAAAATTTCCATGTTTTTTATAAATATTTATTTTTTTGATAAGAAGAGGCCATTGGCATTGCGAATGTGAGCATGATGTGTCTATATTTCTATTCCCGAATTCCGCCTGGGGGTACGATAAGGTTCTATGGTTTCTTTTTTATAGTTTACTCAATTAGATTCCATTTCTGTGTCACTGGGTGCGAAATTTGTTTACAGCGTTTTGAGTCAATAGTTTTTTTTTATTGCCAACCTCAGCTGATTATTAATGATTGGCTATTTTTAAAATCCAGATGAGCCCTTTTTTTGCAGGGGTTAAGGGGTCTACTTTGTAATCTCTGGATCACCCCCAGCGATTTCTGTTCAAAAGACACACAGTATAACCCACTTAAAAATAAACACATTGCCATAATAGTTAGTCTACTTGAAAATTGGATCAGGCTTTATGTAATGCCCCCATCGTAATGCCCGTCATATAAGGCTCATCAATAACAATGTGTGGATCTAACGATCTATAATAAAACCCAAGGAACCCCAAACCCACAAAATAGAACCATCAAACGTGATAAGAAGTGCACGTGTTGACGATCGTTGGCAATAACAAGTTGTTGTTATTTTTCTAGTTTCTCGTTATGAAAAAAAAAAAAAAAATAACAATAACTTAAGGAACCACGTTCCGTTTAATCTCGTGCTACTTTTTCCATAAGAGTGCCGGGCTTATCAGTACCTCCTCCCGGGGAAGTCAGAAAAACATGTGAACGTCTCGTGCCGAATGGAAATGTACTCGAGATATAGTCTTTCTCTCTCTCTCTGAAAACAGGAGGTAGTAGTTGGGGGGTACAGTCTATTTGTCCGCCTGTCCACTTGTCCACTTGTCCGTAGTCTAGTTTCAATATTTGTCGGACTACACCCGGCGATCTGAGCAATCAGCTGTGCCACTCAACACACATTGCGAGTGGAAAATTCTGTTGAGATAATCGGAAAAACACTTTGAGGGGCCGGGAGGAAAAGTCAAACACATGATATAGAATAGGGGCTATAGAAATAGCCGACAAAAGTTGCGAAAAGCATTGATAATAAATCAAGAAAATTAATAGCTAAAATTAGAAAATATTGAGGTTGAAAATAAATCAAAACTGCAACTTTGTGGCAAAAATTTTGCACTCAACTTTTGGTTATCTATAGAGCCCTATAAGCCCTAGAAATAGGCTGATAGCATATAGTATTAAGACTCTAGATTGTAGCTTCCTTTTTTGTAAAGTCCGTTGGGTAAGATCAGTTCTTAGTTGCAGAGAGCACAACTGTACTTTCCCTATCGACAATCGACACAATACCCTCTCTGGAAACTCCGCCATGGTCACACCCCATTCCAAAGTTCGTAATCAAACTTTGAAGTGGACGCAATTCGAAATTGAAATCTTAGTGCTGCATTATAGCACTAGCAATATAAAATGATATCAAAGAAAACTAGAAACGTGAAGGCATCGCGTGTACTTCACGTGATCCGTAGTGCCAGTCTCTGGGCTTATCATCTAGAGGAGGCCAACGACTACGACTGCCGACCGCAATAAATCCGTGACAGAATTAGAAGCACAATCGGCGTCGAGTAGTTGACCCCCAAACGCTGAAAATAACGAGGGCCGGAGTGCCAGTCCGGGGGTATACTGGGGACCCAGTACCGTACACTTATCGCTCATCCGTCGGGGCCTACTCACGCCGCCGATGATGATGATGGGCTGATGACGAGTGCAAACAATACGGACCCGGGCCTGTCTGTCCCGGGGTGTTTTCTATTCGCATTTTTTGATGCGCAAACGGTGTGATAATCAAATAGACGGACACACGGACAAACGGACACAGGGGCATTTGAATGGACAGCGTAAAATCACGTGCCTGACTGGATTTTATTTTTGGTCACGCCTCTACAGAAATGAGATTATCTTCAGTCGAGTGGCTGAAGTTCGACACTAAAAGCTAATCATTAAACTTAGGAATCTATAAATAAGTTTTCGGTAATCGTTGTTAGGTTTTTAATGGCTCTGCATTTTTTCTATTATACCACTAATTTTTATAATATTTTCCTCCTTATTTTTGCAGTGGGTCACTGTCATCCGGAGGTAGTGCGTGCCGGGGCCCTGCAGATGGCCACCATTTCCACCAACAATCGCTTCCTGCACGATGAACTCGTCCAGTGCGCCAGGACCCTGGCCAGCAAGATGCCGGAACCACTCTCCGTCTGTTTCTTTGTCAACTCCGGGTCGGAGGCCAACGATCTGGCTCTGCGTTTGGCCAGGAATTTCACCAAGCGCCAAGATGTCATCACTTTGGACCAGTGAGTTTTTTATTCATTTTTTTTATAATTTTTATTTCTTAATATAAAAATATTTTCAAAATAAATAACTCAAAACCTACCTCTCTTTTTCTTACAGTGCCTATCATGGACACTTGCAGTCGGTAATGGAGGTGTCTCCCTACAAGTTCAACCAGCCCGGTGGCGAGAAGAAGCCCGACTACGTCCATGTGGCCCCCTGCCCGGACATCTACGGCGGACAGTTTACGGACAAGATGCATCCGGACGCGGATATGGCCGCCATGTATGCCCGGCCCATCGAGGAGATCTGCGAGAGGCAGCTGGCTAAGGGCGAGGGCGTGGCCGCCTTCATTGCCGAGAGCCTGCAGAGCTGCGGCGGACAGATCCTGCCCCCGGCGGGATACTTCCAGGCCGTCTACGATGCGGTGCGCTCCACCGGTGGCGTCTGCATCGCCGACGAGGTGCAGGTGGGATTCGGCCGGGTGGGCAGCCACTACTGGGCCTTCGAGACGCAGGGCGTTGTCCCCGACATTGTCTGTGTGGCCAAACCGATGGGCAACGGCCATCCCGTGGGTGCGGTGGTCACCACGCCGGAGATCGCCCAGGCCTTCCATGCCACCGGAGTGGCCTACTTCAATACGTACGGCGGCAACCCAGTGTCCTGTGCCATCGCCAATGCCGTGATGCGGATCATCGACGAGGAGAATCTCCAGCAGAAGGCCCACGTCCTGGGTGAATACCTGATCCGGGAGTGCAATAGCCTCAAGCAGGACTTTGAGTGCATCGGGGATGTGCGCGGCGCTGGACTGTTCGTGGGCATTGAGCTGGTGCGGGACAGGGAGGCCCGTACTCCGGACAAGAAGTCCGCCCACTGGGTGGTCAATCGCATGAAGCAGCTCCACCACGTCCTGGTCTCCTCCGACGGTCCCAACGACAACGTGATCAAGCTAAAGCCGCCCATGTGCTTCAACCGGGAGAACGCCGATGAGTTCCTCCTGGCCTTCCGGGAGTGCCTCACCACCCTGATGCAGGAACGCCTGACCAGCGCGGCCATGGCCAGCGCCACCACTACCACCAATGGTGTGATAGCCACCGCCGCCGAGACTTTGGCAAATAAAACGAAACTCTTCGAGCGCCAGGATCGTCTCATCAAGTCTGTCTGAGGCAGTGCATCCAGCTGGTCCTCCAAATCCAGCATCTCCTCCAGCATCTCCTCCTCATCCTCGCCCTCTTCGTCTGTTTCGGCTGCTATCGGGCACAAAATAGCTTTAGCCACCAAGGATATTTAAATTATTCCAAGCCACATACCCCTATCCTTAATTCTAAATTCTTTAATCTTTTAATGATTTAATTTCTGTTTTTTTTTTGTTCGGATAAGTCTCAGTCTTAGGGTTGTTGAAGCTTCAAAATTATTTTAAGAAAAAGGTTATTATATTATTTTCATAACAACCCATTATTCGCATCTGATATATACATACACTGATAAAAACATATATATAGAGAACATTATATAGGGCATGTATAACCATTATTCTGTTTGTCAATTATCTTCTAGTATCTAGAAACTTAGGGAAGTCCCAAACGAATTTCTTCCATTGTTATAACAGATTATTACCATATATATACATATTTTTTTTTTTGTAAATTAAGTACAAAATGTTGAAAATGTTATTAAAATGTTATGTATATTTTTTTAACTGCAATTCCATGGGCTTTTTTATAGGGAGGTTTAAGGAATAAAAAATGGGAATTTGGAGTCCCTTTTTCCAATTGAAAGCTTACAACTTTGGGGATTAAAGTTGTAAAAACCTTATGGATAAATATCTGGGATTTAGAGTGACTTTAAAATTTGGTTTAATTTCAAAGGTAAGAAATAATTTGAATACGTTTTAAAAGCTTTTACAAATTAATTGTTTTAATTTGAATAGAGGTACAAGAAAAATAAATTTATCCAAATTGAAAAAAGCTTTAAAGAAGGTAATTAAAGAATATGTTTCCATGTATTGTTGCTTGTTTTCAAATAGCTACATTTTTAATTAATTGTTTATTTTTAAGTTTTTTTAATACAAGTATAAAATAAAACCTAAGGCAACTTAATTTTTTTATGGGGCTTTCAAGACCAATGACTTTATGTTCTCAGAAATTGAAAAAAATAAATCTAAACAAGAAAATTTAAAAATTAAATGTTATTTCTGATTCTAGATATTAAGAAAAGACACCTGTAAAATATGAAAAAATATGATTCTAGATGAAAAAAATATAGTTTTTTGTATAATTAAAGATTCTAAAGGTTTTAGAATTCTTCAAAGAATAATACATATAACTTATTTTAATTGGCTCTAAAAAACTGAAAAATATCTCTTAATATCTACATCTCTATTAATTCGTAATATAACAACTTATAATTACAAGCTGTTAATTTTGAGTTATATCATGTTAAAAATATTTTGGTTTTGATGATTTAAAAATTTTAATTCCTACGGGTCCTATTTTATAGTTAAGCATTAATTTTCCAAAGTAAGAAAGTACTTGATGTATTGAAGAAAACATTTTGCTAAATACGTCCTTAAATCCAATCCAATCCATAAATCCAAATCCGTTCAATTGAATCCCCTTATTTGTTAGAAGCCTTAAATTATTTTGAATTTTTGAAATAAAGCTTCAAAACTCAATCTAAAAAGCTAAGAAAACAGAAACAAGTCCACAATCAGAAAGAAAAAGCCTCAAAGTATGTTATATATTTTTTTTATTACTTTTTCTTTTTGTAGATTTTGTAGAAATATTATTTAGTAAATACAACATTATACATTATTTAGTAAATACAAGCAGGCAAACCTTTTGACAAATTAATTTAAATTTAACAATTAACATAAAATCGCAGTGAATTTGAACTATTTACGACACAGGTCATGCATGCGGATCATCGCCTGGGAAGCGTCCGCCGTACTGTCCGGCCGGAGGGGCAGTGTCGTCATAGTCTGCCACCAGGATGTCCGGTACTCCGATTCTTTGTCGTCCTCCCTCCAGCGAGTGTACGGTGCTTGCCTGTTGAAAGATAAATATTTATTATTATTGTGTCTTTTGATCCTTCGAGACATTGGTCCTTCGAGCCAAAGATCCATCCGTTCGATTGTCTGACTTTTAACCCGTTAAATTATTAAAGTTTTTGATTTTAATCTTTAACCCTTAAGCCCTTTGCCCCAAAAACCCGTAAACCCCATAGGTTACGATAAATTCTACCTATTTAACTCACTCTCGGGGTATCGAGCAGCAATTCGGTGGCCATGGGGTCGTCCCTCGACTGTCGGGAGCGCATGAATCGCTGGAATACGTTCGGAGCAGCCATGCCGGAAGCCGCTTGATTCGATGTCTCCTCGGATCCGTAGCCCTGCTCCGGAGCGAATTCCACGACGGCGGCAGATTCGGTGGCTTTGGGATCGGCGCGGGCGAGCGTCGCCAGCGGATTCTGGAAGTGCAGGTTAATGTTGAGATCCCTGTGACCGCGTCGCCGGTACTGGAAGTACATGTACCCGAGTCCGGCCACCAGGGATCCAATTGCCATTATTAGCAGGGCCAGCCACCAGTGGGAGGATGTCCCCTGACTATCGGATGAGGAAGACGACGAGTCGGAGGCAGAGTATTTGGCTTCCAGGAAGACTTCATTGCCGGAGCCATGGGGACAGTGTTCGCCCTCAGCTACCTTCTGGTGGCCACACATGCACTCGTAGCCATAGTCCGCCTGGATGCACATCCCACGGCAGTGGGCGTGAACGCAGGGATGGGCAGCGGGCTGGGGCTGGCGGGAAGCGGCGGCCACCATCACATCCTGGGCATTGAGGACGTTAAGGTTGATGAAATTGCAGATGCGAGAGCCGTACATCCGGCATCGCACCGCCTCCTTGGCGCCCAGATTGACGAGGTAGACGTGGTTCTCGAAGACACTCAAGCCGGAGGGCTGAAGCAGGGCGTTCGATTTCTGGAGCATCACTTCCGGGCGCCTCTGGGGCCCGTTCCGCGGCTTGTACGGCATCCGCTCCAGTGTACGGGTGTGTAGGTCCACAAAGTAGAGCAGCTGCTGGTGGGGATCGGTGGTCAGGGCGGATACGTAGCTGTCGCTGCGCTGGAGAAGTAACTCGTGGCGACTGCCGTCCAGCCGGGACATGTGCAGCTCAGAGTGGGAGTGACCCAGGCCCTCGGACCGCAGGGCTACATAGAAGAGCCGCGAATGATAGCCATCGACGGCTAGGCTCTTGAGATGCCGCGGGCTCTTCACCTTCACGACGCGTCCGCACATGCCCGCCTCGAAGCTGCAGGCCAGGATCTCCAGGGCGGCACTGCCCCCGCTCATGACATAGACATTCCCAGTGGCCCAGTCGAGGGAGAGCTTAGTGGGTGCATCTACGGCGAGACCACGGATGCGTTTCTTGTTTTTCAGGTCGATCTGGTAGAGGAGACCCTCCTCCTCGGAGGAGAAGTAGCCCACCTGCCGCTTCATGTCCACGTCGAAGCCAGAGATGCGCGAGTCGTTGGCCGACCAGGCCACCTCCAGCATTACCGGCTGCTCCGTCATGTTCCTGACCTCGTTGTAGCTGGTGAAGAGCAGGGCGGAGGTGGCGTGGAGGCTCTTACAGCTGACCCTGTCCTGGCGCAGCATGAAGTCCGCATGGCACTGGCACTGGTAGGAGCCGAGGGTGTTCTCGCAGAGTTGGGCGCACGGCTGCTGCTCCTGGCACTCGTCCACGTCCACACAGCTGCGCTGATCGCCGTCCAGGCGGTAGCCATCGTGGCAGGAGCACACGGCACCGGAGGGCGTGGCCCGACACTTGTGCTGGCACGAGGACTTGGAGCAAGCGGTGGAGCACTGGGGGCCCTCGTCCATTCCATTGGAGCAGTCGGGGAAGCCGTTGCACACCCGGGACATGTCCACGCACTCCTGTCCGTCCCGGCAATCGAACAAACTGGCCCGGCACGGCCTGCCCGAGGGACTGGCCTCCGGTCGGATGCCCTGCGTCTGGTTGCGGTTCTTGATGACCAGTTCGCAGGCTTGTTCGTCGGATCCGTCGCTGCAGTCACGGTCGCCGTCACAGCGGAACTCCCGCCGGATGCACTGGCCACCGGAACGGCACTGGAACTCCTCGATCCCGCACATGTCGCCGCAGTCCGCTTCGTCCTCGCCGCGCGGGCACTCGGCCGTGCCGTTGCATCGCGCCCTTTCCGGCAGGCAGATCCTCAGATTGCTCGTGCACTGGAACTTATCCGCGGGACAGGATATGTTCGACTTGGTCTCGTCGCTGCAGTTCAGCTCGTCGGACCCGTCGCCGCAGTCGTTGTGGTCGTTGCAGATAAGTTTCTTGTCCAGACACTGGCCCAGTAGGCAGCGGTGCATGTCCGGCGGGCAGCTGCGTCGCCCGCACTTGTCGTGCTCGTCCGAGCCGTCGCTGCAGTCGATCTTCCCGTCGCACTCCCAGCCGGCCGGCAGGCAGGAGCCGCTGCTGCACCGGAACATTCCCTCCTCGCAACCCACAGCCGAGTCGCCGCAGTGCATCTCGTCGGAGTCGTCCCCGCAATCGTTCATCCCGTCGCATCGCAGACTGGCGTCCACACACTTGCCGTTGTCGCAGGCGTGCTGGTGGGTGTGGCATTTCTTGGTCTTGTCTGGAAGTGGGGATAGGAAAAAGGGTGTCATTTAAATTATTATTTTATATATATTACATAAAATATATTTGTTTATAGATTCATGGAGAATTATGGGGATTGATATGCGAGATACTTAAAAATCTAAAGTTGCGGTACTATGATCTCATTTGTTTTTGAGATCCGGTTCTTACGATCTTTTCTGGAAGGTAGTGTTAATCCCTACAATCCCTATATTTATATCCATTTATATATATTCGGTTATATCAAAAGATTAATCTTAAAGATTTGTGGAGAAGATGAGGCTTAAGTGCCGTTTCTTGAATGTGTTTATATCCAATATTGAAGTTTAAAAGTTTCCTATTCTTTTGTAATACCTCACACTTAAGATATTACTAAAATATCATATTAGATATACTTGGATCCATCTATTTATACCCAATGATAACTATAAAATATTGACATTAAGGTTGTTTTCTATGGTTGATTTTTGGATAAGAAATCCTTTCTATTACTGAAACCCGAGTAGTCTTTATCTTTACTTTTCTGGAAGCAATTTCATTTTTTCCATTCATACCCGGTACTTCTAAATAGAAACTGTCGAGTAAAGTCATTCACGAGTCTATTTAAAATAGGAAACAAGACCCTCATAGACCCGGTATCACATCCTAGATCCTAATGACCTAGTTCAATGAACGTTTTTCTTCCCCTAACAAGTTTATTCAAACACTCACCGAATTTCTCGCAGTGCTGTTCATCGGACTGGTCGTGGCAGTCCTTGCGGCCGTCGCAGCGCCGGTCCTTGTCGACGCACTGGTCGCCACTGTGGCAGGCAAACTGCCGCCCGGAGCACATGACCTTCGTTCGTCGGCGGTGCTCCTCGTCGCAGTCCGTCTC